TACTGTCTAAATACTTGTATGTCTGGTGCTGGATAGCGAGCAAAGCATTTGTGCAATTACCCGCCTGTCTATATGCAAATTGGGTGTGGCTCAGATTGTTCTCAATGACTGACTGTGCTTGCGTACGATACACGACCTTCTCAAACAACCGCGCAATAACGGGAGTAACATTGATACCACGGTAGTCTGAGTCCTCTAAAGGCATGTCCACTTTGGGGAGAGGATTAACATTTGCCCTCTTCCAAGATTCCGGCCATGTATGAGTAGAAAGAGACAAATTCCAAACATGAGTAACGACAGGTGTGAGTAGCTCAGCACAGTCTTTCCAGATCCAGTACGGGAGGTTATCTGGTCCTGTTGCCGTTTTCTTTACATCAACTAAAGTGTTCCACACACACCGCTCAGATATTTCCGGGGACTTTACACTGTCCGTGATATCCATATCAATAGGTCTGACGTAGCTGTCATCATAGCACAGGTTGGCGAAGTAGTCGTTCAGACGAAGGAGAGAGTTGTAGTCCAGATTTATCGACAATGACCTTCGACGCTGCGATAGGGCGTCCACGCCCTTCCACCAATCACCGCTACCAATGACAGCCGGTTTTCTTCTGTTCTCGGTTATCACCTCAGAAATGCGCTTGTTAAATAAAGACAGGCGTTGCTTGTTGTTTAATGATATACGGGACTTAGCCCTCAGCATACACTTGACTAATGGGGACACCCAAACTGGGTCACGCGATGACATGCGTACGGATTTTTGCGGCATGCACTTATCCATCACTGCAAGAATCTTTTCAATATAGAGAGTTGGCTCGAATTATTATTATTCTATAACTCGAACCCTCGATAACTCGAACTCCCGCTAACTTGAACCAATTTTCGTTTCCCCTTAGGTCATTTTCCATATAATTTTACCCTCGATAACTCGAACCATGTTTTGAGCCCTTAAAAAGTCGGGAAAAAAGCCGTCTACGTTACGTTCAATCTGATTTATAATCTAGAAGTATCTTCTAATTTTCACTTGACATTTCTACAATTGAATGTGATTAAAATGTTCACTCTGCAGTAAAAACTGTTTTTTACCTTACTCTCGGCTATTTTCTTCGAACTCCCGATAACTCGAACCTTTTTTCGATTTCCCTTGAAGGTTCGAGTTATCGGGAGTCGACTGTATTTACTTGCTTTCACGAAAACGTGGCTTTTTACACGAAACAGGATTTTCCCACTCGCACTGTTAGTCTTGCGTTATTAGTCTTTATCGAGTTTTCTTCAGGGTATTTACTTTTTATGTTCGAAGTACGCGTTTAGGCGTGTATGTGTGTATGAATACACGAAAATCAAGGGCCTTGATTCCATGGAAGCTACATCATTGCCAAAATGCAACCACGTGATCAACCGCGACTCAGAACATAGATCACCAGCAAATTCTTGCCTTGGTACCTCACCAGACGGCATGTGATAAAACCCAGACGATGGATTGTGGACGATAGACGATAGACAATATGGATGATACCAAATTTTCAAAGACTTTATCACGAAATTCAAGCCTGAGATGCTCTAGTTTTATCCCATACATTTTTTCTTAATTTGTGTGGGCAAATCTCGGCCTCAATGGTCATATCACATTGGCTCACTGGTAAAACTAGAAATACGAGTGTCGCAGAACCTGGCGAAGCTAAAGGGAAAGGGCCGACAGATTAAAAACAAACAAACAAACAAACAAAACAAAACAAAGAAAAAAAACAACAACAACCCTAGCAAGAAAGATGAACTTCGGGGGAGTTCGAATCCGCACCCCAGAGAACGTCACGCACACTAGGAAGAGGTGGCTATTTGCGTGTCTCGCGTTTTGCCCGACGGACTGCAGAAAAAATAGAGACTGCTCGTAGACTGCTCGCATAGTCTGTAGTATTTATGACCCTCGTAAAAATGTCTGTAAAAATGGTGTCGGCCGGCGTTTATCGTCTATCGTCCAGAATCTATCTTCTGGGTTTTAGCACATGCCAGGAAAAAGCTAGTACATGAAACACGAGAACACGCCTCGCGCCCAGAATTTCCCGCGAATCTTTTTGATTGGATGTCATTTGATAACCAGACATTTCACAGTCAGCTTATCTTTGCATATCAAATTAGGAGGCGGTTTGAACAAAACAATGGTCTCCTTGCAGGCGTTTCTTTCCTTTCTCCCTCGCGCGCCCAAATTCCCCCTTCCCCTTCTCCTCCTTCTCCTAAAATTGAAGAGCCGCATCGGACAGCCACTGTTGGAGATTCTCCTCGTGCATGAGTTAATTGTGGATTCTCCATACGGAGCTTTTTAAATTTGAGTAAATCATTTCCCGAATATCTCGCATATAAAAAATTATAATGACCTGAATCGGTTGGCGAAGTACTTTGCAAATTTACCTCCTTTTATTCCCCAGATTCTGAACTTTATCTATTGAACGGATTTGATTTTGAGTTTTTTTAATAGCGTAACAGTGAAAATCAGCAATCTTTGCTAAATGCCGCCAAAATGACACTGTATCATTATGATATCAAGGCCGTTTCAAGCTACTTTCTCTGCTCTTGTCACAAGTACAGTACACTCGTAATTGATGAGTTCATCATCTTTAACATTATGATAATATTCGTTCTCCAACTCTCTTATTCCCTCTTCAATTTCATCATCGTTTAAATGCTGCAATACACTTAAAAAGCGGCATCGATATTTTTCGTACAACTTGGACTTTGTCACAGCCGCGGAAAAGGAGAACTCTTGACGCGAGATGTTTGAATTCACACCAATTTCCTTTAGCAACGGAGATGAGATTTCCTTCCCTCGCTCAAAACATTGGCTCATAAGGTTTTTTACATCTTTGAATAACGGAAGACTGCTCTTAAGGGTGCCAGTTAACTGCACATAAAAACCCCCGGGGCGTAGACTACGAAGTATTCCTTTATAGACAGCATCGGGGTTTACAAAATGATGTGCACTCATAGTGGCTAGCACTCGGTCAAACCTCTCGCTAATTTGCGGATTCGAGAAAAATTCTTCGGCCGTTTTCACAACCGGGTAAACCCCTTTCTTTTGTCGAGCAACTGCTTGCATTTCCACGCTGGGGTCTACACACCAAATAGGATTGTGAAGCCCTGATAATTCAAAGAGATCTTTTGCAATGGCGCCTGTTCCACTACCAATGTCAGCGACCACGTGCTCTGGCTTTAAGTCCAAACATTTCATTAGGATGGGAATGTAACCTTGGTGAACTTCTTTGTAGAAGTAATCATACTTGTTCACAACATTGCGATAGTGATCTGCAAAGCAGAGGGAGAGTCTTAACTTTTCCCTGGCCATCTTTCTATGATACCATGCATTTTACAAAAATAAACTTAATGAATAACAGTCCAGTGTCCGTGTACATGTCTGTCCCCTGTGATATTTTTCTGCGTTTCCTTTTGTTGAGAGTGACGTTAAGTGTTTTGAAGATTTTTCTTAACTTAGTGGATGGGCTTGGCTATTTCTTTTTCCAGGACTTTTTACCCTACGTACGGGGAGGCTCCTCCCAAAGGTCCGATCCCGTACTTTTTATATACCATTTTTTAAAGAATATAGTGGAACATTTCCTCTGGGACACCTCTATTCAAGGAACACCTCCATTTAGGAGACACAAAACTTGGTCCCGGAAAAATGTTTACATAATCTCTGTATTTGTTACCTGTATTCTGGGTCCCGAAAACTGGGTTTCACCTCCATTCAGGGATTACCTTAGCAATCAAAAAGTGACTGACCACAAAATCGTCGATAATTTAAAGTGTTCACTAGTCACAATGTCGACAGCTTTCAAAACATGAGTTAACTCATCTAAATCGATGTCCTGCGCTCGTGGGAATTCAAAACACAACATTGCAGAGATAAGTTGATCATGGTTTTTCATACATTATCCAGATGCTTGAAATAATGACTGCAGCAGATTCAAATGCCTGCGAGAGCAAACACCTTTTCCGGCTCTAATAAAAAGATTTTATTTGTTGGTTAATTATCAACTAATCCCAGCCCAACTTCCATCCAGGGGGCCCTTTGCCATGGTTCCGGGGATGTCCCATGAATAGAGGTTCCACTGTAGTACCCTTTTCGTATACCTTCTATTGAAAATAATACCTCTTTCACAAACTTAGTTTAGAAATATACATACCTTCTAATTTCTGTAAAAGCACTGTCGTTAAAATATGAATATAACACAAAACTAGAACGTTTTCTTGACTTTTTTACAGCCATAAAATATATCTGTTGGCCCTTTTCCTACCCTTTCACATACTTCAACAGGTTAAATCCCTACCCTTTAAATATGTCTGAAGCCTGAAATAGATAATAATGATATAAATGACAATAATGATAATGATAATGATAATAATAGGTGCAGGTCTTTCATGACAGGAGTTATATGGCCGGATCTTTTTGCTCGTCTTACTCTGATCACGTTGCAGCTATATCTATTTCGGGATTGGGAAGACCACACTATACTGCTGTTGCATTAATCGAAGAGAAACATGAGGAAAGAATTGACCATCATCTTAAGGTGATCCTTGCTCAGATAATTCCTCAATCTTCCAACAAATCAAATCGCCAGCATAACCTTTTGCATGTCTTTATCTAGGTTGATACCAAAATTACAAACTCTCTCTGATTTTGTACTCTAGCGTTGCCACTCGAAAAATCACTAAGAACTGGGTTCTTAACGAAACGACAACTAAACTGTATGACCGGCGCGGTGTTTTAACCCTCGGATGTACAAGGGTGGGAGTGGTTGCCACCCCACTAAAAGGTTTTTCTGATTTTTTCCCTAGACGATAAAACATTAGCACCTGAAGATTTCTGTAGCTGTTCATTTATCCCTCGCGCCCATTTTGAGACAAGTTTTAGTGATGGTCAGTTACTATGATTACGAGATATGACGTTATAACTAGCAGGTGGTTGAGCCATTTTTGAGTAAAAATGGATGCTTTTTCAGCTTCTTTCAGGACAGAAGTAAAGTTTGTGGATAAAATGATACAGAGTAATTATTTACGTGTTATTTTACATGTTAAGAGCAAAAAAATTGTTGATTCACACTGTTTTAACCTGATTTCTAACTTTTGATAAAATCCAAGATGGCGACCATGTTGGGTGACGTCGCAGACCTCCACCAGCGCAGCCAGAGCAAAGGCTTTCCACTGCAGGTAAAATGGTTTCGAAATATCGCAACATATCAAAACCAAAGGGGTTCCATGAAATCCTCCCCCTACCCCCCTTCCCTCTCTTTTACCACGGTGGGGGTATGAATTTGCGTGTACGTCCGCGGGTTAGTAAGATTGCACACTAAAGGTTGATTTCCACTGACGCGTTTTTGGCTTCGCATGTTAACGTACGTAAATTTTAATCACGTAAATAAAATAGAGGCAAGATAAAAAGTGCTAAGCATAAACGAGAAGTTGAGCGAGGTTCAACTTTTACGAATATGAGCGACCTTTCATGTATTGCCTTTATTTTATCTGCAAACATAAATTTTATGCACGTACGCACGTAAAAATTACGCGACGCTAAAAGTTAACCCTAACTCATTTATTTTCGTATTGGCCATTCTATAACTTCACTAATACATTTCTGCAGGGCTGTGTTGTTCTAAGCTGGGTAAATACAATCTAGAAATAAATAACTCAGGTATAAAAGCTTGAAAAAAGAACAAAATTTAGTGTTATTTTTTTCGTCTACAATGAATGGATACGCTAAAGAGAATAGCAAAAATCATCCAAGGTAAATGCTTTTAACAAAAGAAAAATAAACTCAGATTAAAATTTAACTCCGGGTTAGCGCTAATCAGCCTTGGAAAAACTGGGCCCAACTAAAGGGTGTTCAGGGCATGACGTCGATTAAGAGAATCAATAGTAAATTGTATCGTTGAGAATCATGATCATCTGCATAGAACATAGAGCAAAGATTATGTCTTGAACAGGTGCCGTATATATAGGGCGAACAAGAGAGGTCCAGGTATCGACCCTTGCGGAACTCCAAATTCTAACGTCCGGTTTACTAGATGTCGCGTTTTTTGTTTACAATAAAAACAGATTGAGTCCGACCGGTAAGATAAGACGAAAACCTTTTTAGCATTGTGCGAGAAAAACCCAAGTAACTAGTACTTAGTCTACCCAAAAGTATAAAGTATGGTCTAGGTTGTCAAATGCGGCTGACAGATCTAGCTTTACTACAACAACATCTTGCCGAAGATCAATAGTCTTTGGAACATGATTCATTACTCGCAGTAGTGCTGCCTCTGTGGAGTGATTTTTGCGGTAGGAGGATTGCATAGACGCCATTAAAAGATTTTTCTCAAAGTGGGAATGTGTTTGAACCGCGACAACCCTCTGGATGACTTTTTCTAGAAAAGGTATATTGGCTACTAATTTTTGAAACATCCTTGTCAAGGTCTGGCTTTCTCGGCACTGGACGAATCATGGGCAGAAATTAAGGCCAGAAGGGAATTCACCAGAGGTTAAAGATTCGCTGACAATAGCTGCTTCTGTACTTTAATTTTTGGATTATGGGATGTCAGGTGTCCCTTTTGGGCTGAGCCTCCCTGTATTAAGGCCATTATAGGAAGTACTCCCCTCCCCCATCGGGCTGTTATGCCATGACATTTACTAAGTCGTTTTTGCCTAAAAACTGGTATAGACTTCGCACCTTTAGGTCTGGAATGGGGTATGGTTTTCAAGGGAACGACGAAAGTGTCTGAACGCATTATTCTTTTCAATTCAAAATCATAAGAAACTTAGGAGAAATGGATCTTCAGAAATATTTTTGTTCGCGTCTAGTCTAAGTTATTTCAGGTCTGAAAACCGGTCTGGATTTTGGAAGCAAGGTCCTAAAACGATATATGATTTTAGGGTTGTGGTATCGCGCCACACATATGTTAACCCTCGGACGTACAAGGGGAGGGGGGGGGGGG